CTCGATCCCAGGACCCTGGGATCATGACCCAAGCTGAAGGCAGAGGCTTTAACCCACTGAGCCACCCAGGCACCCCTAAAACTACAGATTTTAACTCTTTCGGGTGCTTTTGTCATAACCCCTTCTTCTACATGAGCTGCTACTTTTGTTAATGGGATTTTCCACCCATGACTGAATTTAGCTGCTTTTGTCTTTTTGAGAATCTGCTCATGAGACAGAGATTATGGGTCATGAATCTTAGATAATTTAGTTTATTGGGGACATACAAGGTCTCTTGCCTGATATGAAGAAAAGAGAGACAGCTTGAAGAATGGTAGCAGGAAATACTAACCAATAACAAAACTCTCAGAGAATCCTTCATTCATATGAAATATTGGGAAAATAAAACTGAATTGATAGGATGTCTAATTTGTAGATTTTTTTCAAAGCAGTAAGATTTTGTTTAGTTTCAAGCCTAAAATGTTACAGGCTAAGATGTCAATGGGTTCTAGAAAGGAAAATTGTATAAACCAGTGAAATTTATAATTTACATGAGGCCTAAATTACATAAGGACATATGGTGAGCACAAAAGTCTTTAGAATTATGCAATCTCATTGTTAGACTGATAAAGCAGTGAACATATTAGGGATAATTTTTGTATCCTTTTATTTAAAATAACAGTTTATACAGGGTCCTCTTTATGGCTTCAGATGATTAGCCCGATACATTAACTTGAACCTTTGGTCAGTATCACCAACAAAGTAACAGCTATACTACTACTGCTAGTAACATTTGTTGAGTGCTCAGTTTGAGCCAGGAACCATGCTGGCCACGTTCAGTAATGTAAGCCTCACAGAACCAGGCACTGTTGTTAGGATTTCCACTTGAGAGGCAGGAGCACGGTGGCTGAAGATTAAGTTAGCCTGGCCAAAGTCAAATCAGCTAGGAAAGCTTGGGTGTCAAGAATCATCAATTTCGTGTTGAATTGTTTCTAATTCTAAATAGGTAGAGGGGTAAAATTGTAAAAATAACAACCTTTAGGGATAGCTAGGTTCAGGATAAAACAGAGAACATTCTGAACCACTGAGATGAGGCAGGAAACTGAAAACATTAGTGTAGAATCTCCAAAGTCCATGGATACCTGCAGATTTCTCTTCTGTGTTTTTGTTTGTTTGTTTTTTTAATCCCCTCATGCTGAATGCCCTCACTTGGAAGGTTGGACCTAGATAGAAGGTATCATGGAACACACTGCATGTTCATCGACATATCTATGGACTGCTATATTAGAAAGCTATGTCCTAAATAGAATAATTCTATAAAAAATATAGTCATCAAAAATACTTGTATATAACCTTAAACATGTCCACTTACACTATTACCTATTTCAGGAGATATCATTTGGACATCCTCCTGAATAACTTTGAGCCATTTATTTCCAAACCATTCTACAGCAGCACTGTCCAATAGAACACTCTAGAATGAGGAAAATGTTCTGTGCTGCCCTGTCCAATATAGCAGTCTCTAGACACATGCGGCTACTAATCACTTGAAATGTGGCTATGGAGACTCAGGAACAATGGAATTTAAAACTTTAATTAGTTTAAATTTAAATAGCTACATGTGTGGTTCCTGTATTGGACTGTATAATTCTTAAGAGTAAAGATTCAATTTAACAGATATCATAAAATTCTAAGTATACCTGTTCCTCATATTCCCTTCATCTCTTTCCCAGGGCAGGAGAGTGAGGGAGGGGATAGAGAGGGAAGTGTTGAGTCCAAATGTAAAATCATTTTCCATGTTTACCTGTCCCAAATTCAAGCTGTGTTTTGTTGACAAAATTTGGGAAGGTTGAAGATTTGGCAGGCCTGTCTGTCCCCTTGCCTGCATGAATGTGTCAGCACCTCATTAATCTTGTGTTAAACTGTAAAGGCCCTTTTCCTTCCCACTATGGGCCTATTTTTAAAGGACACTTCAGTGCCCCCTTTGCATCTCACAGTTAGATTTTTAAAAAATTTACAAGTTGCTCTGTGGATTAATTTCAGCATATGTTTCATTTAAATGTATCTTGATCATTTCCAAATTGGAATGAGAGAAATTATTTGGGGGAGAGGGAAGTTAAAATGTTTAGTCATGAGTTTCTGTGAGGAACATTAGGTGTTTATTTTCTAAAAATTAAAGACACAAGGATTCTGTTTTATCTTTCTCCAATTTTAAGGGAACTTTCAATGAAATGATTCTGTCACACATGTGGTCTTGGTGATCCTTCTTTTGTCAAGAAAAAAAAAAACACATAGGATGTAATTTTTTTTTTAACTTAACTGCTTTTGTGATTTTTGTTCAATGTAGGAATCAGACGACAATATCTTTAAAAAATACTGAGTATTTTAAGCTTAAGCCTGTAGAATTTCATCTTACAGGTGCATGGTGAATTGCCATTGCTTTTTTTTTTTTCCTCTTAAGACAGACATCTAGAATAACAACTTTCTGCATTTCCTGACACTGGAAACAGATACCGTTTGGGATTCCTTTTATAGTTTCTTCTGCTAACGACTCCAGTGACCACTCAATTGTGGTCTCGTAGTAAATCAAAAATTCTTTGAAAGACCCAGCTCTGTTATATAATCGTCAATGTCCCACCTCCCTAACTAAAAAGAAAAGTGAGTTTCTGTTGCCTTAAATAATATGGACTCTGTATTGGCACATAATACTTTTTGAAAATAAAAGAATAGACCGTTTTCTTCTCTTCCCCCTCCTTTTAAATTAACCTACAATTGATGAGGCATACACGGAACCTTCAGGCTGCGTCAGATCTGGTTGGTCAATCATGAAGAAAGAGAAAAACCACTCTGCAAACTGCTACTTCAAATGTACTGAGTCCTTCCGTCAATGACTTGCCCTAGTTGGGATTTTGGTTTTCACAATGATTGAGGCAAATACCCAAGTCCCAGAATGGACTCTCAATTGTTTACTTTGTATTTTAATAAAATAGATTTAAAAAATAAAATCAGGGGAGGCTCCAGTTCTGGCTGGGAGTCATGGAAAAGACCTTGAGAGAGGACCCTTAGGAAGGATCCCATAGAAGCCTTGCCCTGCAGTCATCCCTGGGAGACCCCAGGGTGGGATGACCACGTGCGTAGTTTCCAGAGTTCCCCGACTTCTGCATCCAGGTTTGAAAGACTGTAGGGGCTCCATTTAAAAAGCAGGGCCTCGGGTCTATGTAAGGGAGGGCAAGGAAGAAAACAAAAACTAATAACTAGATCAAGTCAAATGGGATCAGATCAAATGAAATCAACCCCACGATAGTACTGGGAGCAGAGCTTCACAGGCTGGAGTTCTATACCATCTTTGAGGCTGCGAGAAAGGAACTCCGCCATGTTTTGGCCTAATGGGTTTAGATCAAAGATGTCGACGGTAGAACTTTTCAGTATGGCTGACGTTGGGTGGGTGGGGGGGGGGGGGGAGCTACTGAGGAGGGCCCTTCGCCAAGGCAGGGCTGACAGTTTGCAAGCACAGGGCAAGGCCCAGCATCTTGCCCTCTGCCCAACTCAGGGGACGAAACTGAGGCGTTGCACAAGACTTGAAGTCGGAGAAAAGGCTTCCTCAGAAACTGGGGCCTCAGTATGTGCCAATCCTTATAAAGCGTTTCACCTCTTCAGAGGCTAATGCCTCTCAAAACCAAGAACAATTAAAGCGAGAGTCTTTCCAAGCAACTGGGGAATTGAGCAAAATAAATCAGAAATCCTCAGCTTTGGCTCTGGAGGCTCGCCTCATTATGAGAGCAGATCTATTAGCCCTCTTGCCTTTGTCTTTCATTTCTCAAGTGAGGTGATTCTAATTAAATTAATCTGCATGTCAATCTATCGGTGATCAATCAAAGAGCCCGAGGTCTCCCCTCTGCTGCAGGGTGCTTGCGGCTGACAGGGGCTGATAATGGAGGAAGAAATAAACTGTCGAGGAAAGTTAATTAGTCAACATAATAGGTGGATTAAACGGGAGCTGGCTGATTGCTGTTTCCCATGTCAAAGCATGAGGTGGGAGCTGAGGCTGCAATTACAGACAATTATTATATTTGGTTGTAAGAGGTCGCATGAATAAACATATCTCTGTGGGTTTCAGTTTTAATCCTCTCCCCCATTTAATATAAGGAGAAGTGTAGGTCATTTCTTCTCATTGTTTTAGTCAGAGTTCTCTGAGAAAACACCTTTGCCGGTGTCCCTTCTGGCAAACTAGGCTCAGAGTCAGTTTATGAGATGGCCAGCGTATCCGAATTATACCGAGCCACCACATTTCTTCTTCTTCTTCTTCTTCTTTTTTTTGTTTTTTGTTTTTGTTTTTTTTTTGGCTGTGAAACAGAGCTAAGACCCTTAGTCAGCAGGGATCTTTTGGGGAGGGAGTGGTCTGGTTAGTAGTGGTGATGGTGGTGAGGGCAGGGGGAGGGAAGTTTGGTCTGATTAATTGAAGTAATTTGGGAAGAGAAAAGTACAAGAAACCCCAAAAAGGCACCCGGGAGAGAAAGCTGCCTCCCAGCTCTCACTGAAACCTCTCTTTTTCATTTCTCTATGCTCTTAACCCTGACATAGTGGGGGGGGTGGGGTGGGGGGGTAGGGGGTGGGAGGAGGAAATATTTTAAAGATTCAAAAGATTTTTATTTGCATGATCAACTGTGATATCTGCTTCAGTGTCTAAACTGAAGGGTAATTTAGGTGAAACACAACCACCGTTGTGTAAAAAAATATGCTAATAAAGATCCTCTTGTTAAAATTATGGTTAACAGTGTACCTTCTGCTGTATAACTATAAACTGTGCAATTTTACTTAAAACTGCATCAAAAGCGTTCCATGCCAAAGACCCACTCATCAATAGCTCCTCTTGTTAGACTTGTACAGCATAAGCACCAGTTATTATGTGAAATAGCTATGCAATTTTCTTCAGCTCCCAGCTGTTATTTATTTAACTTGAGTTTATTACCCTCTATGCTTTTATATTAAAATGTTCATTCATTTCTCTCTTCTGTCTCCAGGTCGTGGTGTCTACGACAGTCAATGTGGATGGCCATGTCCTGGCAGTCTCTGATAATATGTTTGTCCATAATAACTCTAAGCATGGGCGGAGGGCTCGGAGGCTTGACCCCTCGGAAGGTACGCCCTCTTATCTGGAACATGGTAGGCAAATCATTTTCATTGGTTGGCATTGCTACTTTAACTGTGAATCTATTTGGTTTCTTTCTTCCAACTCCACCACATTTTCTACTGTTTCCGATTTCTAATGTTCTGTTGAAACGATGCTGAAAGCAAATATTTAAAGATAGGAAGATACCTTTGAGGCCCAGCCTTTCTTGTTGCACATCTCTCTATCCTGGAAATGGTTGATGCATCTTTCCTTCTGGTTGAGAGAGGGAGGGAGACCTGGACCACTTTACTTTAAATTGCAGCTTGACTGAAAAATAAAGGAGGGCCAAAGCAGGGTAACAAATATTGTGGTACATTTTGAGTTTACAACTGACTTGGTTGTATAATGAACTCTATCCTCTTTACAATGCTGCTGGTGTATTTCTGTAACTTCATATTGAACTTCATTTGGAGATAAAGTCCAAAGTCTAGGTCAGAGGCATTTGTTAAGATGAAGCCCAAACTAAATATCTCTCCTGTGCCTTGTGCATGATGCTCCCCTCATCACCATGTGAGAGCCTGCTCACTATGGGTGGGTTTTCTTGGGGGAGATTTTACATTTGTCTTGAATTTTTGGCTGATCAGTGGTACCTTTGAGAGAACTGGAGGAAACCGGATAAAAATTTGAATCAAGGAAAGTGAATGGCACTCAAAGGAGCCACAGGCCAGATTGAATGTACATCTGAATGTTTCTGTACTACATGTATGTATAATGTATACATCCTTCCATCTGCCCATCCATCCATTGATACATCCATCTATCTGACCATCCATCTGTCCAGCCAGCCATCTATCTATTCTCAGTCCATCCACCTATCTATTCATCTTCCATCAGTCCGTCCATCCAACCATCCATCCAAGAAACAATGATTGAGACTATACTGGATACCAGTCACCGTTCTAGATTTTCTCTTATCTCCTCCAAATTAAACTCTAGACCCATTTCCCCACTTCACTTTCTGGTTTGCTACATCAGCAGGATTCTTTTAAAAACACTACTGTACAAATTACCTCCCGATTGCCTGATTTTTTCCAAGGGCCATGAGCTGTCCATGACGTAATTCATAAGGTAGAAAACTCCCTTCCCTGCCAGCATTCTAATTTAATAAACACATCACTATCATTATTTTTTCCTGATTTTTTCTGCACTTAAGGAATACACAAACTGTACTTTTTATTAATTAACCAGATGTAACACTCTAAGAAGGGATCCTTCACCACATCCAGTTTTACAGTCTTTTTAAAGTAAACCATCATCTTTCAAAAGCTGCTTCTTTATGGTTTCATTAGTGCTGAGATGGATAGATATTACTTTTTTGCAGGAGGCCATTTGAAACACCTGCGCATGATTACATTCCTAGTTCCATTCCTTACTGTACTTAAAATTATTCTGATCCTCCTTTTACAGTAATGTTGCCTTTTTAATACCCTTGGAGTCACTTAAGGCATTGTATTACTAGAAGTATTTAGGGGAAGGGAGGAAGAAAAACTAGGTAAATACTCAGTGAGCACAATTTGGAAAGCTGTGGTTTAAAAACTGAAGTCTTGTTTTCCACTGTGGCTTGGTTAGTTGCAATGGTTACTGTCTTGTCCAAAGACAGACTTAACTGTCAGTTTGAAATCTACCAGTCATGGGTTCACAGATCCAAAATGGGCTCCAAATGCAGACACAGCCAGCTCCCATTCCTGCCTTTGGGAAGGCAGCAACAGACCACATGACGTCATGCAAATAATCTCCACCAGAAAAAAAAAAAACAAAAAACAGCACAAACCAACAGAAACCACCTGCGAGAAGGACACCTTTAGAGTCTAGAGGTCAGGAACATTATTTTGAATTATAATGTGGAGGAAAGAATCTTGAGGTAGGAGCCAGGAAACCTAAATTTAGTTTTTTAGTTTCACCTCTGGCCTTTATGTCACCTTGGACAGGTCATCTTACCTTTGGGGATCCTTTGTCTTCTTCTTGATAAAATGAAGGTGATGATCTGTAGGGGGATTAAAAAAAAGAAAGTGTGTGTCTTGAGTGGGGGCAGGTGATATACATAGGGGAAGTAGGCTGGATGGAAACTGCAGAAGAAGGGCAACTATGCATTCTGCCCTCCTGCAGCCCTAGACAGTGGAGGCCAAAGTGACTGAGAGCCCCTGGAGACAGATGTTCTAGTTTGGCAAGAATTAAAACTCCTAATTTTTAATTGTTGGTAACTAATTACACAACTTTTAAACCCTCGGAAGGGGGAAATGTCACTTAGGAAGAAGATAGCCATGGGCTAACAGTTTGAGATCTCCAGACCAAAACACCTCTAGGCTTCCTCCCAACGCAAAAATATTCTTGCTTCTACATGTACATATTAATATTTCAAGTGGGATATCATATTATTAAAGTTTTAGAGGCAATGTTTTATTCCTCCTCTCCAGTTCACCAGTCCGCAAGGGGCCATGTGATTATTAACATATTGTTCAAGAAAATGGTGACATTTCCCTGTTCATAAATGGTTAAGCATCATTGGGGGTCTGGGTGTGTCTTATCTTCTTCAGCTAGGGGGGGCTCGCAGTCACCAATGTCTTACTTCATTTCTCTCCAGTAGAATAAAAAGGGAGATAGCTTGAGGTGCCTTGTAATGACAATGCATGGAAATCTACTTCTCTGAACACATGAATCAACCAGCCACACAAAACCACCCACTCATTTAGACACTTCAAGCTGATACATAAATATCTACTCAGCAAAAGGTGACTCCTGGGCTCTTACATTAGGGATGTGTGGGAGTGGACTTAGATGCTAATGCATGTTGATTTGGGGGGTATGGTAATACCTAACTTTGACACTGAAAAATCCTGTTTGAAACTGCCCTGTTTAAGACTTCCAGAACCAAGTCCCTACCCTTCAGCCGCTCTACTCCCTCACCCTCACCTCAGACAGCCACTACTCAGTGAGACTGCTAGATATTTTCACCTCGTAGGTGACCTGTAGGAGCCTTCGTTTTCCCTCATTCTGGGCTTTTTACCAGCTCATTTACAGATAGCCTGAATTATTTTGAGCAACTCTGCACATCTCTATTTATATCCTGCTTGTCAGACAGTTGGAGGAAAGTTCCCTTTCGTAGCTCATCTTTCTGCATATCAGTAGAAAAAGAGACCACGCTTTACACTCATGCATACAGTCATCCCTGTGTGACCCACGGACCTCCAAACCTCCAAGCTCAAATCACAGCCCCTGTATTTCAAGTGGGAGAGTTGACAAAGGTAAATTCATTGCACAGAATCTTGCATGGTCCAAAGAGGGTGAATCCTGGCATCCTGTAGCTCATGGTAGTTGCTCTCCCCTGTTTTTTTCTTCATTCATAAATACTGAGATTTTCTTTGGCTGAATATTTATGGGAGAGTTTAGGCTAGTGAGGTTTCATCTTTAAGCAAGCAGTCGCTTTATGGAAGACATGCACTGTGGAGACAGGTAGTGTCAAAAGGTGACTACTCGCAGGGTTTCAGTTTTTGAGAAGCATGGTCTTGGAGCCAAAGCAGCAGAATCGTCCCCACCCACTGGAATGTGCCGTCCTAACTTATGCATCTGCCCTAACTTCCCGTCACTTGGGCAAATTCCTGGGGACCTTATGCTGGGGATCTTTAAAGGCTTGGGAGTGTTGATATTGTTATTATTGTTCTCTTGAGTTTCAGGTTGTGTTTACTTGAATTTAAGGCCAATTGAGGCATCAGTTTCTGTATTTTCTCCCCCTGTGGCAAAATGCGGTGCCCTCACAGAGCTACAGTGCAGGGACCCTGTCAGCTTTCATGCACTAACACTTTATTATCTAATGATCTAATATGCAACAAGGCAAAGTGCCGGCGCTCATCATTCTGACATAGAATGCTGGGAGAAGTGACTAAATTACTTTATGTACCATTAGCGCTAGCAGCTATGGTGAACTCACCCGCAGCATTTATGCAAATGCCTGTGAATACACTCTAGTGGCTTTGTCAGGAAGCCTTCTGACAAGCAGTTTAAATGCTCATTTTTTCTAGGGGACTTTTTTTTTTTTTTTTTTTTTTTTTTTGGCATGCATGTGTTTTATCCCTTCCCCTCTTCTGCCTCCCTCCACTCTCTTGCTTTTTGGGGCTGTAGGAGGACATGCCTCCTCCATGATCACTGGGACATCTGAGTGGGTCACAGAGCTCAGCTGGTCATCAGTAGGCCACCCTCTCCGGTGTTTTTCATACTTAGGTTCTTTTTTAAAAATCAGTATGAATTTGTACAATCATCATGTTTATTTGAACAATCAGTTTCTAGATGGTGGATGTTTTAATGTTCAGGAGTTCTGACCTGAGGTCTGTCTTAGTTTCTTGGCTTCAAATATCAATCTTTTAAAACATCCCTGCTTTTTAAAATTGGGAATAAAGCACAATTTAGTTTTTGTGGGCATCAGGTACAAACGAATTAAATTTCCCTTCAAGGTGGTTATACAGATAAAGGTGTGAAGTATAAATGTGCCAGGATGCCAAAATAAAACAAATCTACACAAAAGTGGGGTTTGGTCAAACTAAAAATACTTCGTAGAATAGAGTTTGGTGATAGAATCCCTGGGCCCATCTTCTTGCTGTAATTACAGCATCAGAGAAGTAGAATCAGATTTTCTCCACCACCAGTTAGTTCTGACCTCTCCATTGTAGTGTCCCCTTCCAGCTGTCCCTGACAATATGGTGTTATTCTTGCTCTTTAGCATTTGACCTTCTTTAATCCTTTTGCTCCAGACAGAAGCAGCTTTTGCTTCTGTTGGTTGCCCCTGGGTATCCAACCCCATTGACTCCCTGTGCCTAGCTGCACTTAAATTTGTTGTTTTATGGACATGCGGAGAAAGGTGATTCAGGCTTGGGAAGATTACTCCAAACTGAGAGACAGCATGGAGGTTCCCATAGAAAGGAGAGGTCCCCTCTTCTCCCTTCTGTGTAATGAGGCCCTAAGATGTGGCTAGTAGACATCAGTTGGATCTAACAGAGGGAGG